GATCAGGTCTGCGAACGCAGAGACCTTGTGCTCCGGCACCTAGCCCGTCTGGGTCTTTGGGTCAACTGGGAGAAGAGCAAACTTTGCCCCGTGCAGAGGATCTATTTTCTCGGTATGGAGATAGACTCAGTCGCCATCTCCGCGCAACTTACGAGCGAGCGCGCACACTCACTGCTGACTTGTATTCGACAGTTCGAGGGCAAGAGTGCGGTCCCACTGAAACTTTTTCAGAGGCTCCTGGGGCATATGGCATCCACAGCCGCGGCAACGCCACTCGGATTGCTTCATATGAGACCGCTTCAGTTGTGGCTTCGCGATCGAGTCCCGAGGTGGGCATGGCATTACGGTACGCTCAGAGTTCCAGTGACTCCGACCTGCCGTCAGACCTTCACCCCGTGGAGGAATCTCAGCTTTCTACGGGTCGGTGTTCCCCTAGAACGAGTTTCCAGGCATGTTGTTGTCTCCACAGATGCCTCTGCCACGGGTTGGGGCGCCATGTGCAATGGGCATGCAGCCGCGGGCTCCTGGACAGGACCCCAGCGCCTCATGCATGTCAATTGCCTCGAGTTGCTGGCAGTACGCCTTGTCCTGCACCACTTCCGGGCGTTGCTCAAGGGTCAACAAGTACTAATCCGTTCAGACAATACCGCGACAGTAGCGTACATCAACCACCAGGGGGATCTACGCTCTCGCCGTATGTCCCAACTCACACGTCACCTCATCTTATGGAGTCAGAAGCACCTGATGTCCCTTCGTGCTATCCACATTTCAGGAGTTCGGAACTGTGCAGCCGACGAGCTGTCACGGCTCCGTCCAGTCTCTGGCGAATGCCGACTCCATCCCCAGTCGGTCCAGCTGATATGGGACCAGTTCGGGGACGCACAGATAGATCTGTTTGCCTCCCACGACTCTTCCCATTGCGCCCTGTATTACTCTCTGACCGAGGGTACGCTCGCGGGCCGCGGGGCCCGCGCAAATATGCATTTCCCCCAGTGAGCCTTCTCGCACATACCCTGTGCAAGATCAAGGAGGACGAGGAGCAGGTCATTTTGGTCACCCCATACTGGCCCACCAAGACCTGGTTCTCCGAACTGATACTCTTCGCGACAGCACCTCCTTGGCCAATTCCTCTGAGGAAAGACCTCCTTTCTCAGGGACGGGGCACCCTGTGGCACCCTCGACCCGATCTCTGGAGGCTACATGTATGGCTCCTGGACGGGTCGAGGCAGGTTTAAGTACCCTGTCACCTGCGGTGGCGGCTACTACTTCCGCTAGAGCGTCGTCCACGAGACACGTCTATGCGTTGAAGTGGGACCTCTTTGTCAACTGGTGCTCTTCTCGCCGAGAAGACCCCCGGAGATGCTCAATCAGTGTTGTGCTTTCCTTCCTGCAAGATGGGTTGGAGCGAAGGCTGTCTCCCTCCACCCTGAAGGTGTATGTGGCTGCCATTGCCGCATATCACAAAGCAGTTGAAGGTAAGTCTCTGGGAAAGCACGACCTGATCATCAGGTTCCTGAGAGGAGTGAGGAGACTGAATCCTCCTCTCCCTCCTCTCGTTCCCTCTTGGGACCTCTCAGTGGTTTTAAGCGCCCCGCAGAGGCCTCCCTTTGAGCCGCTGCAATCAGTCGAGATTAAGTTCCTGTCACTTAAGACAGCGCTCCTGGTTGCACTGGCCTCCATAAAGAGGGTAGGGGACCTGCACGCATTTTCCGTTGACGAAGCGTGCCTGGAGTTCGGTTACTCTCACGTGATCCTGAGACCCCGGCCTGGATATGTGCCCAAGGTTCCTACCACTCCCTTCCGGGACCAGGTAGTGAACCTGCAAGCGCTGTGCCTGGAGGAGGCAGACCCTTGGCACTGCTCTGTCCAGTACGCGCCCTCCGTGCTTACATAGACAGAACGCAGTGTTTTAGGACCTCAGACCAGCTCTTTGTCTGTTATGGTGGGAGCCAGAAGGGAAGGGCTCTCTCAAAGCAAAGGTTGTCTCACTGGTTAGTGGACACCATTGCTTTGGCTTACCAACAGCAAGGCCGACCGTGCCCCCTTGGTGTGACATCCCACTCCACCCGGAGTGTGGCTTCCTTTTGGGCTCTAGCGCATGGCGCCTCGCTAGCAGACATCTGCAGAGCTGCAGGCTGGGCAACACCCAACACATGCGCTAGATTCTATAATCTCTGAGTGGAGCCTGTGTCCTCTCTTGTACTCGCTCACCCTGCCAGTACTGGACCCGCTCAGGTGTCTTCGCTTGCTCTCCATTCCACTCCACCGTCTGGATAAGAGTGATTTTTCTCAGTTGAGCCATCTACGGAAGCCCTGAGTTCCTCCAGCACTGTTGATACTGATGCCAGTGTCTTGCTTGGACGTCGGTTAGGTGCCTCCGTGTGCATGGTTCCTGCTAGTAACCCCCACATGTGTATTTCCACTGTAAGCCTCTCGGAGCATGTGTCTTCCCTCGGCAAGCCACCTTGCCACCCCTGGAGTTAAGAGTCTAGCCACCCTACGGGTTGGTGACTCCAGTGTTCCTCCATACGAAGCCCCCTGGGCCGTATGGGTATTCCTAAGTCCTCCCCACGGGTAGGCGTACTGCGGCATATTTCCTCTGGGATATGCACCCCAGTGTACCTTGGTATTCCTGTGTCAGGTAGGACTGCTCGTCAGTAAGTTAAGTGCGTCAGGGGTCAGACTTGCGCTGGGCACTGGAAGACAGCTGTGAAGGTGGCGTGATTACACGGGGGACCCCTATTCTCCGTCATTCCGACGTAACTCGGAGTGACTACGAAAGGGAACTTCTCGGTTCCGTATGTAACCCTCGTTCCCTGAGTAGGGAACGGAGACGTTACGTCTCCCTGCCACTTCTGCTGTACCGCTGGGAAGATGCCTGAGTTCAGTCTCGGCTCCCCAGCGAAGACATACTGCGGTGGCGTCCGCTTCCTCCTTTTATACTCACGGGGTGAGGCGGAGATACGCTATGCAAATTCCGCAGACCCATGGCATTTCTTTGCCATTGGCTCGTTTTTTAATACTTGAAGAGGATTGACTTTCTATGTGAAACCCCCCATTCTCCGTCATTCCGACATAACGTCTCCGTTCCCTACACAGGGAACGAGAGTTACATACCTACAGTGCCCTCCACAATTATTGGCACCCCTGTTTAAGATGTGGTCGAGGACTTTTAAAAATTCTCCCTTTTTTTTTAAACAACATAGAATCCAAATGCAAAAAAAGAGAAAAATCCAACCTTTTATTTAAGTACATTACTTTGGTGGTAAAAAAAAAAAAATTAAATTTAAAAAAATAAAAACTTCAAATCATGTGTCCCACAATTATTGGCACCCCTGATGTTAATACTTTGTACAACCCCCTTTTGCCAACAAGACAGCACTTAATCTCCTCCTATAACATTTCACAAGATTGAAGAACACAGAGAGAGGGATCTTTGACCATTCTTCTTTGCAAAATCTTTCTAGATCATCCAGTATCCTGGGCCCTCTCTTGTGCACTCTCCTCTTTAGCTCACCCCACAGGTTTTCGATTGGATTGAGGTCTGGGGACTGAGATGGCCATGGGAGGACCTTGAGTTTGTGACTGAACCATTTTTGTGTAGATTTTGCCACACGTTTTGGATCATTATCCTGCTGAAAGACCCAATGACGACCCATCTTCAGATTTCTGGCAGAGGCCATCAGGTTTTTATTTAAAATGTCCTGGTAGTTCAAAGCGTTCATAATGCCATGCACCCTAACAAGGTTCCCAGGGCCTTTGGAAGAGAAACAGGCCCACAGCATCACAGATCCTCCACCATACTTCACGGTGGGCATGAGGTACTTTTCGGCATACACATCTTTTGTTTTACACCAGATCCACTTAGAGTGTTTGTTGCCAAAAAGCTCAATCTTAGTCTCATCCGACCAAAGCACACGATCCCAGATGAAGTCCCAGTGCCGCTTGGCAAACTCCAGACGTTTACGTTTGTCAGTGTTAGTGAGAAAAGGCTTTTTCCTAGCATGCCTCCCAAACATCTTGTTGGCATGTAGAGAGCGTCTGATGGTTGTTTTGGAGATTTTGTGACCCCAAGATGCACTATTTGATGCAATTCTGTGACAGTGAGCTTAGGACTTTTTTTACTTTTCTTAGCATCCTCCTCACAGTGCGTTGTGGCAAGATAAACTTGGGACCTCTTCCAGCCTTGTTTGTCACTGTTCCTGTTGTTTTAAACTTCTTAATGATTCCTCTAACTTTAGATATGGGCAATATAAGGTGAGTGGCTATTTTCTTGTAGCCATTGCCTGACTTATAAAGGTCATCACACATCTGCCTTACTTGAATGGTGTGTTCTCTTGTCTTTGCCATGTTGACAAATGGGTAAGAGAATTAGGCCTCTGTGTCATGTCATATTTATACCCCAGGGAAATAGGAAGTCATGAATTACTAATTAAAAGTTCCTAGATATCCTGACCAACATTAGCAACTACAGAAAATATATATATTTTTAAAAATCAATTACATTTTTCAGCGGAATTGTTAGGGGTGCCAATAATTGTGGGACACAGGATTTGAAGTTTTTATTTTTCTAAATTTTTACATTTTTTTTTACCACCAAAGTAATGTACTTGAATAAAAGGTTGGATTTTTCTCTTTTTTTGCATTTGGGTTCTATGTTGTTTTAAAAAAAGGGAGAATTTTTAAAAGTCCTCAACCACATCTTAAACAGGGGTGCCAATAATTGTGGAGGGCACTGTACGTAACCGAGATGTTTTTCATACATATGTTTTGACTGGGTTTTAGTTTTTTAGTTCATGAAAATGTACCATTTTTTTAACACCCACCCACACAATTCCTGCCGGATCATATTTGTTTGTTACAAATATGAATATTCTGTCTCACTTGGAAATATGTCTCATGATAAACAATAGCACTGTCCAAAAACAGATTTATTGATGTAAATAATGTTGACCTGCTTCTGTTTTGTTTTTGTTTTCTTCTTCTTTTTTGTCCTGCAGTTGGCTACATGGGATTCTGTCCATGGCCTCAATGGAAGTCTAAAGGAGAGTCGTATTGAGAATGGCATGCAGGGGGTTACTGTGAAAGTAGTGACGTTGTTGGTAATACTTACTTTTATTATTTTAACTTTTTAAATTTGTGTTTGTGGGTGTTGATGTATAAATTATTGAATAATCAATCATTACGTATATTTCACAGTCAATACTACAGTGCTATATAATGTACTTATCAGGACCACTCCAAATCTGCAAGATTTACATGGAATTGGAATATTCTTCATTTACAAGTTCTGCATGCCCCTAACCTCTTGCTTATTTGCTCACAAATTATTTTGGCTAACATAATCATGCGTACAGCCACAAATAAAAATGTATTTATCTACTGTCATAACCTGTTTTATTTTATCGTATTTTTCTTGTTCATATAACTGTTCTTTATTATTGATGATTGTCAGTAGAAATGCTGCTTTTAAATAATATATTTGTCATTTGGCTGTAATTTGTTACAAGCATGGTTGGGGTAAGCATTATGCTTGAATGTCCTTACTCGTTATGATCTAACTGTAATCATTCTACCAGCCCAGCAATCATCTCCTGCAGAAAGGTTCTCAAGAAAGCCATAGAAAAGATTGAAGCTAGTTTTATCAGCCATTTGAAATGTATCTGTACATTTTGGTAATCAATATTCCTTTCAAAGGAGGATCCGTTTGTGATGGTGGCAGAGAACATCCTCGGACAGCCCAAACGATATAAAGGGTTCTCGATTGATGTGCTGGACGCTTTAGCCAAGATCCTAGGATTCAAGTATGATATCTACCAGGTGTCAGACAGCAAATATGGTTCTCAGCTGACCAATGGCACTTGGAATGGAATGATTGGGGAACTCATAAATAAGGCAAGTGTTCTTAACATAATGGGCTCTATCTTGCACCCCGCGCTAATGACTATAAACACTGACACATTTATCATTCCTATTTTACACCCGCGTGTATTTTAAACAACCTCGTGTTTTGTGTACCACAATGTTATGCTTTTTTGCTAATCTTGGAGGCTGGCCTTATAGCGGGTATATTAGGTTTGATTAGGATTGAAGCTAATTTCTGCAGGACTGTGTCCTTTCAGGAGCAGGATTGGACAGGGCATAAACCCACCAAATATAATGAGGTTATGCTTAACATAAATAAATAAAAAATGGCAGTTAAGTAAAAAAAAATAAAGAAAAAAAAATTGAGATACATTCTCTCAAAAGTCTTAAAATTGGATTATCTTTCTTAAATATCTTTAGATATTTTACATTTTATCATTCAGTTGACACTTTTATCCAAAGTGACTTACAAACGAGCAGAGTAATAGAAGCATTCGAACCAAGGGCAACAATATGCAAATGCGGTGGCTAATCCCATTTTTTCACAAAAAAAAAAGAAATAGAAAAACATATTTAAAAAAAATACTGAATATTAAAATACATTTTATATAATTTGTATGCATTTCTGTAAGGCCCTTTTTTAACCAGAACAGTAAATTAAAATCTTCCCTTTACAGAGAGCTGATTTGGCAGTTTCTGCCATTACTATAACACCGGAGCGAGAGAACGTTGTGGACTTCAGCAAACGCTACATGGATTACTCTGTAGGGATCCTACATCGCAAACCCGAGGAAAAGATCAACATTTTTTCCCTGTTTGCCCCTTTTGATTTGGCTGTGTGGGCCTGTATCGCAGCTGCCATTCCTGTGGTGGGCGTTTTGATCTTCCTGCTGACACGGATGCAGATGCTCCGCTCCCAGAATCCTCCAGGAGCCCATCACGCTTCATCCATGTTTAACTCATTGCATAGTGCTATATGGATTGTCTATGGAGCCTTTGTACAACAAGGTACTTCAATGAATTTCTCTCTTCAGAAACAACTTATCAAATTTGCCACAGGGCTTAGAAAGATGAAAAGAATAAAGCTGATATGGGGGTACCAATAAATCTAAGTGCCTAAGACATGTTAATGCAATACTTGTTTAGCAGCTTAAAAATTTAGTCTTTTCTTTCTAACTTGTGATGTGAATGTGAAAAAAAAAATAACATGCTCAAATGCTGTACATTTTTTAAGATGCATTTTTAGGTACATTTATTGATTAAAAATATATTTTCTTTCTTTATTTTATTTTTATTTGACTATTTATTTATCTATTATCTAATTAAAAGGGTAAACAGAATGTGATACACTCTTTGATTACATAATTATGTTAATCTAGTACATGTTATCCAAAACATATTACTTTAGCTAAAGTACTGTATTTATCAATACTGGGTGCCTTTTGCACCACTGGTCAGGTTTTTACATCGAGTTTACCTCACCACCTCGTACATGTGTTTGATTTTTAAACAAACCACTTTTATTTTTTTATTTTTCTGCAATTTTTCTCTAGGAGCAGAAAAAATACATTTTCCTTAAGGTGTGTCTTTAGCCCCATTGTACCCTATTGGTTTGGAACATCATGGCAGTGAGAAAAAGGGTGAACTCTTCTGTCAAGTTTTAAAAAACAGTTGTAAATAATGGAGCGTGTTCAATTTTAATAGTTGAAAAGTACCTTTTTCATCAGAAATTCCTACCCTTGCGTATAGTATAATTCCAATTTCAAAATCAGCATACATAAAACATACCAAGAAGGTGTTATGTGCACCAAAACAGTGAAAAAATTCTTTGAATAAGGCATGGGATATGCTGGTTCTTATCCAAGAGACAAAATGGAATAAATGGTTACCTCAGCAACTAGCATGCTAAACCCCCAGCTGCCTCTATTAATTATTGGCGTAGCCTACTGCCTACAAACCCTTTTAAGCCACATAGCTAGTTATTAAATCTGGGCTGTTTCCATCTCGTATTTTTGTAGCTTGCCACCATATGAAATTTACAATAGATTGTACAAAACACAACAAATGTTGCAGCAGTTTACACAGTTCTAAACATGAGGAATTAGCAAATCTGATGTAGCATGGTAGCATTTCTGGCTTCCTCCACTAACTAAGGTTAATAATGTGAAACTATGTTAGTGTCTCATAGATTATTCACGTGTCACGCCTATGACATCATATGATAATTTTTAAATACCCTTTCTTTGACAAATGCTGCTATCTAATTGATGTGGTAGCCTATGTCTCCTCTCCATTGTACATAATCAGGATTATGTAATCTTTTATAAAAGGATTTTAGGGGGAAAGTGATTTAAGAGAAAACATGTTACAAAAGAAATGGATTAGGGGGTGTTTTGTTATGTATTGCATTTCAAAATACATTTCTACATCCTAAACAAAACATTCTTTTTTGTTTTGTTTCTCACAGGTGGAGATTCTGTGGTGGGGTCTGTGGCATTGAGGATAGTTATGGGCAGTTGGTGGTTGTTCACGTTGATTGTGTGTTCGTCTTACACTGCTAACCTGGCTGCGTTCCTAACTGTGTCCCGCATGGACAACACTATAAGGTAAACTGCCATTTCACAAATAGTTTACCACCCAATGCGCCATATGCTACAGAGTTGATCGATGTCTATTAAAAGATTTTCTGTCCTGTTTTTGTCCTCATAATTAGTGCACCCTTATGCTCAGGGATACTCACACATAGATTGGCTACATGGCTGGAAATACAGCTAACAAAGGCTATTTCAACTATTTAATCTTAGAAGTTTACCACCAATGCAGACAATCACCAGACTACAGTATTTTTATTTCTCAGTCATTCCATGGTCCGAATCCGGTCAAATGCCGGTCAAAAGTGTCTGTTGCCTTTAGTTGGCATATGACAATAATAATAATGATAATAATAACTATATATATATATATATATATAATAAAAATGCATGTTGTTGTTTTTTTTTATTATTATTATTATTTAAAAATAATAGCTGGTGTCTTTCTCTCCATTCCCACGGCTCTCTGCCCGCCCACGCTTCACACCACAATACATAATATACACTCCCTGGCAAAAAGTTCTAATGTTTCATTGGACCCCATTTTTTGTGAAATGTCACAACATTTGTTTACGTCCACAGCTGAAATAATTCCTCGCCATTTCTCCAGTAAATATCAAAGATTATCAATGGGGTTAAGGTCTGGACTCTCTGGTGGCCAATCCATGTGTGAAAATTATGTCTCATGGTCTTCACAATTTGATTCACCCAGTGACTCTCCCATTTCACAAGACTCTCCCAATACTGGTGGTTCCTACAGCGCAAGTGCAACGGTGACCGCAAGCTTTAAGCTTTCAATTGCTGTTTTAACAGCAACAAATTTTTAAATGTTTGTGTGTGTTGACGGCTAGTTAGGGTGGAAAGGTGAGTGCTTCACTGTTTCAGTTCACTGTTCACTGTTGTCCCTGCCATTCCCCTGTGTGCTCTGGCACTGGTAATGGGTCTTATTTCCTGAAAGAGCAACACGGGTGTGTTTGCGTCTTTTTCAAGATGTCATTCCAGCCGTGCATTTCTAGATGTGGTCGATCCCTTTTCCTCTCTGATGGTCACAATTGTTGTATCACATGTTTGGGCTTACAGCATGCCGAAGCAATTTTTGTGGACAGTTCATGTTCCCATTGCAGGAATATGACTGTCACAGTGTTGAAATCGAGACTCTCCTTTCGTCCGCGAAGCACGAGTCCCCATTACCATGCCCCACCACCGGGTGCCGCGTGGGATGGGTGATCGAAGGATAGTGATGGATGTCTCTCCTGGTAACCATGTGGGCTCCTCACTCCTCCATCACAACGCAGCGGATGAAATTCCTGTTCTGTGGACGTGCTGATCCCTCTGTAATGGACAGATCAGCCATTTCAATTGGGGTTCCACCAGAGGATAAGATGTCGATAGCCACATCGGAGGGTGAGCTGGCCTCTGGAGATGACGACTCGGCTGTGTTATCTCCCTCTGGGGGTGTAATGTTGCCCAAGCCAGATTCAGAAATGTCAGCATGCTAAAACGGGCTGCTGCCGGGCTTTAGTGGAACCCTCTACATGTGAACCCTCCTGGACTACCCAATTTCCCAGGTTGGGTTGTTCGGTGACCCGGTGGAGAGCTGCACCTAAGAGCTCTATGCCACCTTCCGAAACATCCCGCCCTGGTGGCCCACTGTTGCCTACTCTCTGCCACCAGGTGACAGTTCTTCCACCTGCCTGTTGCCAAGGACGCCCGCCTGCCACTGCCTCCAGTTCCACTGGGCCCCCGCAGCAGCCTCCACCCGGGCTCCAGCGTAGAGCTAGCAGCAGGTCTTTCTAAGGCACTGCCAAGCTAGGGGGCAAGTGTCAGACGTAGCATCCCCAAGACAGGCCAACCAGGGATAGAGGGACAAGCTCTTCAGATGGTTATTTTTCTGCTCCAGTGGGACTCAAATTGTCAAGTTCAAGCAAATTTCTCTGTCCCTCGGTCTCAAGAGGCGAGGCTGGTGTGCGACAGCCTTGTACCCCTTAGCCCTCTCTTGGTCGCCGCCAGCAGGCAGCTTGGTGTGGTTCGAGCACCCGGTCATCCGCCTTCTCACGCATTTCCTGCCACCAGTAGTGAAAGGTAAGTGTTGTACTGCACACTAACACCGCTGTTCTCCACCTTGCTGCCCCACCTAAGGGTAGTTCTGTGGTCTTCTAGGCTGGTCCAACAACTTCAAGAAGAGAGTGTGCTTGGCTGGTGCTATATAGAATTGAGAAAGGGTCCCACTGAATGAACTATCAGAGGCTCCTGGAGCATCTGCCAGACACAGCAGATTGGCTTCCTCCATATATTTTTAATTGGTGGGTGATATCCACGTTTGTTGTAAGTCTAACACCCTATCAAAGGATTTCCTCAGCCTCATTGGATCTTTTATCTTGAATCTTTATAGTCCAGTGGATAATTGATTCCACTCACATTCAGGGTCATATTTTGGACCTTGTTCTTTCATATAGGATGGTAATCAGTGGGGTTGTTATGATATCTGATTTTATGCTTTCGGACCATAAGTCAATGTTATTTCCTACATCTATGCCTTGCATTTCTCGTTCCACTAGTGCAGATGTAAGACTGTCTAGGTCCTATTCCCCTCATTTTGGATATTCGGCGACTAAGACAAGGTAGCAGAAAGGCTGAGCGCAAATGGAAGAAGGACAAACTACTGTATATCTCACTTCAGTTATTTAAAGTCAGTCTGTCGACCTACCAGAATGCTGTAAAGTCGGCAAAAGCTACGTATTGCTCTGACATGATTATGGCAAACGACTCTAGACCAAAGGTTTTATTTTCTGTTATAAACTCTGTTTTAAATCCTCCGGTAAATACTTTTGAGCCAATCACTCAAAGAAATTATCGCCAAGATTAAACCTTCGTACTGCTCTCTTGACATAATTTCTCCTAAGTTTCTTAAATTATTTGTTGCTTCAGTAGGGCCAGGATTGGTGTCCTTTGTTAATAAGTGCCTCTTTACTGGCTCCGTCCCTGCTGCCCTTTCGCGTTCCTGCAAATTTTGCAAAAACGCCTAAAAATATGTGTACCCAAATTAAATTGCTTGCTGTTCTTGAACCATTCCGAGTATATGCATGGCTTTGGTCTCTTTTGAAAGGGGACACTTTGAGGTTTGTTCTTGAACTGTCAGAATCACTGTAGGTCTTACTGGTATTGAGTAATAAAACTTTGAACAGACTAAAAAAGGGGGAAAATATTTCCGCCTACATTTTTTTTTTTTGTAAAAACATGCCTGCAGATAACTATTGCTGGGAGGTATTAGCTGGAAAACACAATGGGATCAAAGCATGAAGCCTTACCAAACCCAGTTTAAAGTTTGATAACAATATTTTAGATAATGAGTGTTTTACACATGTTTATCTAATGTTATATCTAGGCGCTCCCCAAAAAAGGCCACTTGGAGACTCCAAATGACCCTTTGTAACCACAGACATATAACATGCTGCTATTCTTGAATGCTTTACTCTACAGTCATAATTTTGGTCTCTAATAAAAGGTTACACTTAGATCTATAATTTACATTATCCAGATTCACTATCAGTAATTGCTGATACATAGTAACTGAGGTATAAACACATTGTAGTGTTGTTTTTTTTGTTTGTTTTTCAATTCTTGAAACCAAGATTTCTACAAATAAAAAGACAAAAGACAAGTGCTATGTATTAAAACACTTTAATATTAGAACTCACACTATGAAATAAATAAAATATATATGTATACACACATGTATGTATATGTATTTCAAACTATTTACAAATTATATTTTTCAGAATCAAAGAAATTATCTCTTCCAGGGGCACATCTAATCCAAAAAAATATGGGTGCTCTACAACAGAACCCATTTAAAATAACACCTAACACCTATCAAGGGTTATTAGCAACATGCCAATCATTATAGCAATCCCTATTTGGAAAAAGCACAAAGGCACGTCGCAGGAAGAGCACTTTAGAACTCACACTGTAAAATAAATAAAATATATATGTATACACAAATGTATGTATATGTATTTCAAACTATTTACAAATTGTATTTTTCAGAATCAAAGAAATGATCTCTTCCAGGGGCACATCTACTCCAAAAAAATATGGGTGCTCTACAACAGAACCCATTTAAAATAACACCTAACACCTATCAAGGGTTATTAGCAACATGCCAATCATTATAGCAATCCCTATTTGGAAGAAAGCACAAAGGCACGTCGCAGGAAGAGCACTTTACTGGTGTCTTTGCCTGGCAGTGTCTGCACCTCAGATGACCCGCAGTGCTGTGTCCACTGATATGCACAGGCATGTGATGTGCAGTGCGTGGAGTGTGTGATGGAGCAGGTTTGCCAGCTGCTGCTGCCAGCTCCTCAACTAGTGTCTCCCTAAAGGCCTTCTGGTGCATGGGTACCTGTCCTTTTCCTTTAGCGAGGTCCTTGTACAGAAGGAAGGCATTCACAACTGCGATGTCTATGAAGTGAGAAAAAAAAGTCTTATACCACTTCTGGGTCTTGTTGATGAATTTATAATAACTGATCAGGGCATCAGATAGGTCCACTCCACCCATGCACCTGTTTGGACATAAAAAACAACGATATTGAGATATTTTATTTCATTTCAAATAGCATAAAAGATTGTTGATTATATAATACATACCGGTTGTACTCCTTCACTGCTGGTGGAATCGAGATGTCCTTCAACACCCAGCGCCCATCTGGATCTCGGACTCTCCGTTGAACCGTGTCCCCCGCATTGGGCTGTGTGCAGTGTGGAACACATGAACACGTCCCTTGTGTCTCGCCACTGAACAAAGAGGAGGGAGTCCTTCCGGATCCATCTTATACTCCCACGGGGAGATTTAGAATCCAGAACATTTGTTTGTGTTTTTGGAAACCCAATTCTATTTGGACGTATGGTTCCGCACGCCCAGATCCTCTTCAGCAGGAGGTCACTGAAAAGAGAGGGACTGGTGTAAAAATTATCCACAAACAACTTGTAGCCAGTACCAAGCAACTGGGTGTCAAGGAGCTCCATCACAGACTCATAACTGAGCCCCTTGCCACTGTTTCCTTGCAGCTTTCCTTCATAAACAAAAAAGTCCCATGTGTAGCCATTGTTTGAGTCTGCAAGAACAAAAAGTTTGTATCCCCAGCGAACAGGCTTATTCTTCATGTATTGTTTTAGCCCAATACGAGCTTTTGAGGCAACCATCCTCTCATCGATTGAAATTTCCTGGCCAGGATGAAAGTTCCTTTTGCAGGCATCCCTCATCTCAGTGTACAGTGGCTTTATCTTGCAGAGGCGATCAAATTGTGGTGTACCTCTTCTCTGCTCATTAGCAGCATCGTCCACCATTTTACTGAGGTGAAGGGAGCGGCAGATCCGGAGAAACTTTTTTCCTGTCATAACCTTTTTAGGGAATGGCAGGCTGTACAGATTACCCCCTCGCCAGAAATCTGTGATTGAAGGGAGTTTCACAATACCCATGTAAATGACCATGGCAATGAAAGCAAAAATGTCCTGTAGGGTAATGTCAATCCACGGGTTGGATGGCTTTGAATAGTGTGTTGACCCAAAGTCATTCGTGTTTGTAATTATTGTCTGTAATAGGGTGTTGGAAAAAAAGAGTTGGAAAAACTGGAGAACCGTATAAGTTCCTGTACGAATGAGCTGAGGTCCTGGTGCATTGGTGGGTCTGAAGGTAGGCTGTGGTGGTGTCAGATCTGGAATGTCAACATCATTCCATCCATCTTCAGAAGTGCTGGATGACATTTCAACTTGACTGCTGCCAGATCTCCCTCTGCCTCGTCCCCTCCCCCGTGCTCTGCCTCTTGGTGTTTTGCTGGCAGAACGTCTCTGTGAAGGTGGAGGATGGGGCTCCTCTCCTGATGAGGTGCTTTCACTCTGACCCTCAGTAAGTTGTTTTTTACTGCCTGGCTCCCAGACTTCATCAGATTCATTTTCAGATGATGGTCTGTGATAGAAAAAAAAAATAAAGAAATAAAGAAATAAGTAATTTACAAAACATTTACATTGTTTTTGTATCCACACGCATATAAACAAACACATGCAAAAACAACCAGGCTTATACCATTCATGAGCGCACAAACACACACACACACACACCTGTGCCTAAGCCCACATAAACAAACATTCCTACACGAGCGCACAAACAAACACACACACACACACACACACACACACACACACACACACACACACACACACACACACACACACCTGTGCCTAAGCCCACATAAACAAACATTCCTACACGAGCGCACAAACAAACACACACACACACACCTGTGCCTAAGCCCACATAAACAAACATTCCTACACGAGCGCACAAACAAACACACACACACACACACACCTGTGCCTAATCCCACATAAACAAACATTCCTACACGAGCGCACACCTGTGCTTGAGCCCACAAAAACAATTCCTGCACAAGCGCACGCGACATTAGCAGTTAGCAGATACATGTCCAAACACACACACACTCGTCCACACACACACACACTCGACCTAGCACATCAAACACACGACATAAGCTGACAAGTACACCTAAAACAAACATATCCCTCATATAATAAAATATGTTTTTACAATATAATAAGACTCTTACTTGTCAAGGGTCATGTCTCCACCGTCCAAAAACATCTCCTCCGCCACCGAGTCAATCGATGAAATATCGCTCTCTTCATCCGAAATAGCATCCTCCGACTCATCACTATCACGGCGAGTACACTGTTCTATTACCTCTTCAAGTAAGAAGTGTGTTTTTCTAGTTCTCTTCGCCATTTTTCACCCGTTACCTTCTTTCACTCGTAAATGGGTTCAATGCTAGCTTTACGCACGGGCGCATGAATCACTATGGTGCTTTGCGCACGAACTTCACGCATGACCAGATGAATCGTCCCACTGAAATTACATATTATTATTTACAGAAATTCATTGGCTATCAGAAAAGACCGTCATTTCCATCATCCATTGCAACTGGATCGATTTACTGTCAATCAAAGAGAGGGCGGTGCCATTCTTTATCATAGGCGCTCCTTGGCTATTGATAACTTGTCACACCCATATCATTGCCCGATTGGCTCAAATGACCTGTCTATCAAAAGTTCACGGGTCAGCTGCCATTTTGAAGTCACGTTTTTCTTCATGTTTACATGTGAAATGAACCTAGACCATAGAATGCGTTGAAGTTTTGATCGCTCGTTTGGCTAGCTTGAAATGCTACTACTACATTCCGTGGATGCTTATTGATATATAAATGTGTTATGGACTAAATACTTCGCTGAATTGGATTGTATGGACCCTTGACAGTGTTACCAAACAATTTCTGTTGGAATGTAATGGACAAGTGGACGAACAGAAGGCTTTTAGGTGAGTTTTTTTCCAGTTTGTATTAGTTTGTTTGGCTGTTGGTGATCTGACAAAGGCACAGATTGTAACCGCTGTGTTGATTGTATCCTAAAATAGTTTACATCGATCGAATCACAAGAATCTAAGCTTTCCAGAGATATGTAAACTGTATTATTATTATTTTTACTTGTATTTGTTTTTCAAAAATATAACCTCTACAACGACCAATGGGTCGCGGGCGGGACGTCGGAATACAAGAAGGCCACTGTCACGCTGCTTCTCAAGAAGCCTTCACTGGATTCCGTCCTATCTCTGTATTGCCTTTTGTTTCGAAGGTGTTAGAAAAAGTTCTTCTTGACCAACTCCAGCTCTTTCTCAAAAGCAATAATGTTTATGAAAAATTTCAATCTGGTTTTAAGTCTTCTCACAGCACTGAATCTGCCCTGTTGAGAGTTTAAAATGGCATATATCTTTCCACGGACACTGGTGACTCTGTGGCTCTTGTTCTTCTGGATCTATCAGCAGCTTTTGATACTATCGACCACTCTATCCTGACATCCAGACTAGAGTATGATGTTGGCTTTAAGATATCATCCTCCAGTGGTTCCAGTCTTATATCTTGGGTCGAACTTTCAGAGTAAAGTTAGCTTCCTCTTCTGTTACGCATCTAACCTGCGGTCTTCCACAAGGATCTATCTTAGCACTGCTGGGCACAATTCTAAGAAGACATGGGGTGTCTTTTAACCGTTAAGCAGACAACACTCAAATGTATGTACCAATCAAGAGAAATGATCCCTCTGCCGTTTCATCATTACTAGGTTGTCTAGATGAAGTAAAATTTTGGCTGGACCAACATTTTTTTATTTTTAAATGAAAACAAAACAGAGATCATTGTTTGGGGGTCCACTGTTAATCCCCAGTCTGCCACCTTCGACATAAGTAGTCTTCAGGCTTTTAGATCTTCATGTGTACGGAACCTGTGCGTTCTACTGGATGAATCTTTAAATTTTGATCAACAAATGAAGAGTTCAGATGCAAAAGCCTCTAAGTGCCATTTGAAATTTTCTTCTAAAATGATCATTTTTATCAAGCTTGTATATTTAAGTTCAGTAATTTCACTTAAATGGCAATGAAGATTACCTATTAATTGTCATTTAAGTGAAATTACTGAACTTAAATATACAAGCTTGATAAAAAATTGTCATTTTAGAAGAAAATTTCAAATGGCATTTAGAGGCTTTTGCATCTGAACTCTTCAAATCTCCTCTGTAATAGTTTTTATCAACTTCATCTGCTGTCAAAAGTCAAATCTTTTCTTAATCCTAAAACTCTTGAGATGGCTGTTCATGCTTTTATCACCACACACGTACAGTAGATTACTGCTATTCACTTTACTGCGGTATCTTGAAAACTCAAACTGCTCGTCTTCAATTGGAGCAAAATGCCGCCGCAAGATTCCTCTCAAATAGTCGAAAAGTGACAATTTCACCACAATTCTGAGGTCTCTTCATTGGTTGCCCGTTAACTTCAGAATTGATTTTAAAATCATGTTATTTGTGTACAAATCTCTGCAACCAAGCACCGAGCTACCTATCTGAACTGCTACCAGATACTCCATCAAGAAATCTGAGATTAGGTGAAAATAATCTGTTATTAGTCCCTCACTGCAGACTTAAACGCAGAGGGGATCGAGAATTTTCTGCGGTTGGGCCTCGGCTGTGGAACAATTTGCCCATAGAAGTTAGGATAGTGCATTTCAGAAAATTGCAATTAGATCCAAATAATCTAGGGCATATATCATTGAGTCGTCTCTTCACAGCCGTTGAGTCGTCTCTTTACAGGTATTTGATCATCTCATCGCAGGTGTTGGGGCATCTAAAGTCTCCGTGAGAGGCTGGATACAAACTGGAGCTGACGAACGCCATTTTCCGCCAGCAGATAAGCAAATGGGAAATAATTAGCATAGCTGCTGTTCACAATATTAAATGCATTCAATCTGATTTAACAGAGGAATAAAAGGTAAGCATTATGTAAATTCTTTGCTAAAGAGATCCGTCTTTTATCTAGTTGTAAACTGGGACAGCGAGTCTGAGCCTCGAACAATATCAGGAAGACTATTCCAGAGTTTAGGAGCTAAATGTGAGAACGCCCTCCCTCCTTTAGTGGACTAAGATACCCTAGGAATGACCAGAAGCCTCGAATTTAGTGATTTTAAAGAATGCGATGGATTGTAGGGTGATAGAAGGCCCATTAAATACACAGTAGCTAAACCATTTAGGACTTTATAGGTCAGTTGTAGTACTTTGTAATTGATACAGAACTTAATATGTAACCAGTGTAGAAATGACAAAATTGTTATATGATCATATTTTCTTGACCTAGTAAGAACTCTAGTAGCTGCATTTTGAACTGTAGCTTGTTTATTGAGGATGCAAGACAACCAGCTAATAAAGCATTACAGTAATCTAGTTTCGATGTCATGAATGCATGAACTAACTTTTCTGCATCAGAAACATATCGCATGTTATGTAGCTTAGCAATGTTTCCAAGGTTCAAAAAGGCTGTTCTTGTAACAAGTTCTTGAAATTTAATGTTCGAAAGACAAGTTGCGATCTAGTATAACTCCCAGGTCTTTTACTGTAGTGGATAAAGTAACAGGACATCCTTCTATATTAAAGTTGTATTGTGAGAGGTTTTGTGGGTAGTTTTTTGGTCCAATAAGTAATACCTCTGTTTTATCTAAATTTAATAGCAGGAAATGCGTCATCCAGCATTTTATATCTTTGAGACACTCTGTCAATTTAGATGAGTTAGTGTTTTCATCTGGTCGTGATGAAATATATAATTGAGTGTCATATGTTTTCTTATAATATTACCAAGTATATATATTGAGAATAGCAGAGGGCCTAACACTGATCCTTGTGGCACTCCATAATCTACTGACATTATCTTCGATCTTTCCCCATTTGAACAGACAAAATGATAACGGTCCGATAAGTACGATGTAAACCGTCTTAATGTCTGTCCCTGAACACCAGTGTAGTTTTGTATTCGATCCAAGAGTATTTTATGATCTATTGCGCCGAACGTGGATTTGGAGAAGGCATTCGACTGTGTCCCCCGAGGCGGCCTGTGGAGGGTGCTCCGGGAATATGGGGTCCGGGGTCCTTTGCTAATGGCTGTCCGGTCCCTGTATGACCGAAGCAGGAGCTTGGTTCGCATTGCCGGTAATAAGTCAGACTTCTTCCCAGTGCATGTTGGACTCCGGCAGGGCTGCCCTTTTTCGCCGGTTCTGTTCATAATTTTTATGGACAAAATTTCTAGGTGCAGCCAGGGGCCGGAGGGTGTCAGGTTTGGGGACCACACGATTCCGTCTCTGCTCTTTGTGGATGATGTTGTCATGTTGGCCCCTTCACACCAGGACCTTCAGCATGCACGGGGAAGGTTTGCAGCCGAGTGTGAAGCGGCTGGGATGAGAACCAGCACCTCCAAATCCGAGGCCATGGTCCTCAGTCGGAAAAGGGAGCCTTGCTCACTTCAGGTTGGTGGAGAAATCCTTCCTCAAGTGGAGGAGTTTAAGTATCTTGGGGTTTTGTTCAAGAGTGAGGGAAGGATGGAACGGGAGATTGACAGATGGATCGGTGCAGCTTCTGCAGCAATGTGGTCAATGTACCGGTCTGTCGTGGTAAAGAAGGAGCTGAGCCGTAAGGCAAAGCTCTTGATTTACCGGTCAATCTACGTTCCTACTCTCACCTATGGTCATGAGCTTTGGGTCATGACCGAAAGGACAAGATCCCGGATACAGGCGGCCGAAATGAGCTTTCTCCGCAGGGTGGCTGGGAGATCCCTTAGAGATAGCGTGAGAAGCTCGGTCACTCGGGAGGAGCTCAGAGTAGAGCCGCTGCTCCTCCACATCGTGAGGGGTCAGCTAAGGTGGCTCGGGCATCTGTTCCGGATGCCTCCATGACGCCTCCGGGGAAGATCTAGGACACACTGTAGAGACTATGTCTTCCGGCTGGCCTGGGAACGCCTCGGTGTCCCCCCAGAAGAGCTGGAGGAAGTGTCTAGGGAGAGGGAGCTAGGCAGCGCTAAGATCAAGTAGAACTAGTATTGAGATACAGCCTTGGTCAGAAGCTAAAAGTAAGTAATTTGTCATTTTAACTAGCACAGTTTCTGTGTCATGTGGTCTGAATCCTGACTGAAATTTTTCTTAGATATCATTGTCTTGCAAGAAAGAGCACAATGGAGCGGAAACTTTTTCTAGTATTTTGGACATAAATGGAAGATTTGAAATGGGTCCGTAGTTTGCTAGGTTATTTGGATCTAATTGCGGTTTCTTAAAGGGTTAGTTCACCCAAAAATGAAAATTCTGTTAGTATTTACTCATTCTCATGTTGTTCCAACCCGTAAGACCTTTGTTCATCTTCGGAACACAAATTGATCTTTGATAAAGATATGTTTGATTAAATATGAGAGCTTTATCACTCCTGCATACTAGTCCATAGGCTTCTTGTGGGATTGAATGTTGCTGGCCTCGAAAAGTTGTTAAAGACATTGTTAAAATAGTCCAAGTGACTACAGTGGCTCAATCTTAAGTTTATCAAACGACGAGAAAACTACAATAATAACGCTGATGAGAAAACAACAAAAATAACGACTTTATTTCAACTATCTATTTACTTCTCTCTCTGCCTCAAGTCAGGTTACTAGTTTAACAGCGTATGATCTGTTGTTGTACGGCACACACATCACACACATGACCAGTGTCGGTCAATAGTGAGCCTACGTGTGACGTAGCTCTATGCTATCACACTACGTTAATTGACTAGAGGCTCATAGAGAAGGAAGTGAATTGTTGAAATAAAGTTGTTATTTTTGTTTGTTTTTGCACACAAAAAGTATTCTCGTCGCTTTTTAAAGTTAAGATTGAGCCACTGAAGTCACTTGGACTATTTTAACAATGTCTTTAATAACTTTTCG